GTTTCCCTCCCCCTGGAAACTTGAGTGTTTATTGCCCTCACTCTTGAACCAAATCGTTTTTGGGCCTCCCATTGCTGAGGTAAAGATCCTATTGGGGAATTATTCGGTGAGTTTTTGCATCTCCACATGAAAGTGCAAACTCTGTATGCTTCTTGTGAGTCTCATATTTTTTGTTTTTTTAAACTTATTAAATATTTGCAATGACTTGGTTAAGTTCTTGGGATTAGTGGTTTTGGATGACTAATTTCTTGTTCTTTAACTATTACTCTGTGGATTTGGATAACTGCTTTGTCTTGAGTGTCATTTTGGTAGATGTCGGTAGAGAAAGTTGGGGATTTTCTCTTAATTTTATTTTTTTCTTCTTTTTTTTTCACTTTTTTGTTTTGTAGATTGAGCTAATCCCAAGTGGAAATCTGACAAAGGTATTGGACAAGTTTGTGGGATGAAGAATGGTGTGAGGGACAGGTTTTAGTGATTTTCTATTTCTTTTGTATTCGATATACATAAACGTGACATAATGTCAAAAAAGGAAAAAAAGTAATGTTGCTCAGTGAAAATATTTATCGTCGCAAAATGTTAATTTTAGTTATTAAAGTAAAAATAAAATAAAAATATGAATTCGCGATGTTTTTTATAAGTTTGTCGAGAATATTTTTAAGTTTGTTGGGAATATTTATAAGTTTATTGAGAATATTAAAAATAAAATAAAAATTTAAGTTGCGATGTTTTTATTTTTGTCGCAGAATATAAATTATAACCATATTTAAATTTAAAGTTAAAATAAAATAAAAAAATTTTAAATCGTGACTTTTTTATTTTCATCGCATAATATAAATTATAAGCACATTTAATATAGCAAAAAAAAAAATAGTAAAGTGCAACGTTTTTGTTATTTACGTCGCTGAATATAATTTTTTAAAGATACAAGACAGCGTTTTGGTCATTTTTTTGCTTTACCCAACTCTTTTTCCCTCTTTCCCCATCTTTCCTTCTTCATTTTCAGTCGACACACACACACTCTCTCTCTCTCTGCCTCTCCATCAATTGAACTCAAAGCCACGAGCCAGTGAAGCCACAAGCACACTAAAGCCACAAGCACCCTGAAGCCACAAGCACCATCGATCGTCACTGCCTCCTCTCTCTGTCTCCATCGATTCGCTCCACTCTCGCCGCCTCTCCTCTCTCTGCCTCTCCGTGCCTATCCATCGATTAAACTCGAAGCCACAACCCAGTGAAGCCACAAGCTCCATCAATCGTACCCGCCTCCATCGATTCACTCCACGGTTGGTTTCACCCACCAGGTTCTTCGTTTACATCTCTCTCTTTGTAACATATACGAATTAGAATTTCTATCTTGTTTTCCCCCACAAATTCAGCTCTGATTGTATTTGGTTGGTTTGTAGTTGTAAAATTGTTCACAAATTTTAGTTAGAAGAAGCCTCTGTATATTTGTATTGGTTAAACGTTGGATCTTTGTTGTGGGAAGGCTGTTTGTTATACTTTTATCCTTTTTGGGGGTGATTTGCATTTCTGAGAATTTGTATCTACTCTGTTTTGGAGAGTTCCTGGGATTTGCTTTGATTTTCTTAGGCACCTTTATGACCATTGTGTCTTGTATGCAGTGAATGTTACCCAAATGTTATTTTCTAGTAAAAAATATCAAAAAAAAAAAAACAACAAAATTATGGGTCTGTGATAAGAAAATGACATAAAGAAATTGGACCAAAAATTCTTGCAAAAAATGGTAAGTGTTACAGAGAGGAGCTAACCAGTGGAGACCATCTTAAAACCTCCATCAAAAAGGAGAAAAAAAAGGAAGAAAATCAATGGTGAAAAAGAAAAGGAAAAATGAGATTTTAGGTGTGGTTCTGTTTAAATATGCAGAGAAAAATAAGGCAAATGAAATGGTCAGAGTGAGCTTCTTTCATTGAAAACATCAAATCAGGGCATGCACATATATGAGAGAAAAACAAGACGTAACCTTTATATGTAGCTACCCATTAATGGTTCATACTACCCAAAGAAAACAAATTCTATCGAAAGGGGAAAAGGAAGAAAATGAACACACAAGTACAAAACTGAAATTGAATGGTAAAGGTAAAGAACAAAACTGAAAATGGGAAAGTGAGAAAGACCATAAGTTATGAAAAGCACACCTTTTTTAAGGAACATATTTCCTCAGCCATGTTTCAGGAAAGAAAGTAGTGAAGAGGGCATTGGCATTGGCTGTTCTATTATGTCATTTATTGGAATATAATCAAAAATAAAATTTTAACTTTTTTGTTAAAAATTCATAATTAGTACACAATTATATTGGTTTAGTTTTGTATTATCTTGGTTACTTTGTTGGGTATCACTTGTCTAGTTTTATATTGATGAGTTTTTTTCCAAATACTGACATTAGACTTTTCCTTTATGCTGAGGGCACTGTGTAGGGAGATCAGAGACATTTATTGTTGGCTCACCTTTTTGATAAACCTTGTTTTCTTGGACTGCTTGCAGTAAAGGTGGGTAAAAATATCCTACCTATTTGTTTACTCTAGTTTTGTCTATTAGATTCGATGATTATCGCTAGTACACATGAATCGGTTAGGTACATATCTATCTTCTAGAGGAACAAAATTTGTTCCATGCTACACGGTTACCTTTGTCTAAATATGATAGACAAAATATGTTTTCTTTTAAGAAACTTACTCTGAAAGACCTTGTCCCATAGAGAGACCCCATTTAGAATCCCCCACACTTGCTTAACTCTAAATGTAGATTGAATGTCGTCAAACCTTCTAATCCCTAACCCACCTTCTACTTGAGGTTTAGAAATTTTCCCAAAAGACACCCTATGTCTTCTTTTGACATCCAATTTATTGGACCAAAGAAAACTAGAGCTACACATACAAGCTAGCATATGTAGAGGTACAACACTTGATCACTTAATCACTTATCATATATGTGTAGTTTTTTTGATGCTTCGTTTTATTTCTGGGAATTGGAAAGTTATGAATTTCGATAATTTATTGAAACCTTAATATAAATTAAGGTTTCAATTCTATGCATGCCTGCATGAAACTTTAGTACCCGTTCAAGAATCCACATCGGACATAGAGTATTCTTTGTCGATGGAGATTTCTTGAATTGTCCAATTTCGGATAGTTAGGGAATGCACAAGTTTATATTGTAGTTAGTATCTCACCGCTTAACTTATTACATATCTTGGATATTATGTGTGGCAGATCCCATTGTTCTCTGTGTACATACTAGACGGGTGTAGCAACAACACCTAGTTTATGTTGTGTACTTGGAGAACTATGGGGAGATGTTGCCGGATTTCAGTTAGAGATGTACGAAGCGGTAAGAGATGATTTCTATGATATAGAATGTGCATTCTTGAATGGGCTAGGACCACCTACCAAAATAGGAAGGAGTCGACGACATAGTTTGCGTGATGCTTGGTAGATGACATTCATAAATATGTGATTTTATAGGCTATCAATTATGGACAAGAGTTGAATGACAATTAGGCATAGGTTGGATTCGAAATACATTGATGGGGTCAAATATTTTGTCAATTTTGCCATGGAACGTTCGAGTCAAGATGGAAAAATTCGATGTCTATGTAGGAATTGCATGAATGCAGAATGGCATGATGATGAGGCTGTGAAAAATTATTTGTACTTGAAAGGAATCATGACCTCTTACACGACGTGGGTACACCATGGAAAATCTGTTCCTACGAATGTCACCCAATTCTTTGAAGATTATGATCATGATCCTGATAGTGTCAAGGATGATATGACCGACAGTGAAGATGATGATCGAGACGAAATACCTGAAATGTTGGAAGATGTTGGTAGGGGAATGTTCATGGATAATGATTTAGGGGGTGTTCGTGTTGGAGAAACATGTGAGGGTGTTGATAGTGAGAAAGTTCAAAATTTTGAAAAATTACTGAAGGATGCTCAACGTGTTTTGTATCCTGGTTGTAAAAAATATACACTGTTGTCGTTCTTGGTTAAGTTGCTTCATTTGAAGGTATTGAGCAAGTGGAGCAATAATTCATTAACATTGATGTTGGAGCTATTGTCAGACCTTTTACCTGACGGTCATATTCTTCCAACGTTTCTCTATGATGCTAAAAAATTCTTACGTGCTTTGGGATTGGGATACGAGTTCATTCATGCATGTAGGTACGATTGTATGCTATTTGGAAGGAGAATGAAAAATTGAATAAGTGTACAGTATGTGGGGAGTCAAGATATCGGCTCAATGATGGTAAGGGTAAGAAGATACCTTATAAGATCTTGCGATACTTTCCCTTGAAACCGAGGTTACAGAGATTGTTTATGTCGAGGAAAACGGCTATATATATGAGGTGGCACCAAGAGAAGTGAGTGGACGTCCTGATTTCGCTCGGGACGCTCATAATGTTAGGCTTGGATTGGCCACCGATGATTTTAAACCTTTTGGCAAGATGAGCAACTCTTACAGTATGTGGCCTGTGATCTTGATGCCTTACAATCTGCCTCCCTGGAAATGTATGAGTGATCCATTCTTCATGATGTCATTGCTTATTCCAGGACTACAGGCACCCGGGAAGGAGATTGATGTATACTTGCGCCCGTTAATTGATGAGTTGAAAGAATTGTGGGAAGGTGTTATAACTTTTGATGCATGTAGCAAACATACATTTCAAATGCGTGTAGCTATTATGTGAACCATAAATGATTTTCCTGCTTATGGGAACCTATCTGGATGGAGTACAAAAGGTTACAAAGCATGCCCCATTTATAATTTTGATGTATTATCACAGCCATTAAGAAGCAAAATTGGCTACACAGGCCATCGGCGTTACTTGCCGCAAGATCACAGCTGGCGACGAAGTAAGTTATTTAATGGTAAGATTGAAAAAAATCAAAACCTTGTGAGTTATCGGGGTAAGAGATTTTAGATCAGTTGGAGTGTTTAAAGCACATGAAGCAAAATCAAGAAACTCGATGAGAAAGATGACAAGGTATGGGAACAATTGGTCTCCACTTGTATTGAAACTAATGCATGTATCTTATTTTGGGTTCCACTGTAGGATTCAACAAAGATTACTGACAAAACAAAAGATCATGGCGCTAGTCCCTGACTTTGAAGAACAAGGTGCTCTGAATTTAGTTTCAATTATCTTATTGATTAACTTGGTGATTAGGCATTTCGTTTTTGCTTGATGTTGACAGACATGGTGGTGTGACTTTGTAGGTATAGATGATCTCAAGACAATTCTTGTTCCATTAGCACATCATTTGAGACCAATGCTCCTCAATTCATGGAAAGAAAGAAGTAAGGTTGCATTCCCAATGCTCCTCAATTCATGGAAAGAAAGAAGTAAGGTTGCATTCACAGAAAATGCAGAGAGAATGAAACGTTTACTAGATAATTTGCAACAAAGACTTGACGAGGTAAGCACAATATAGTGGTGGCTTTGTCACCATAATGTGTTCCACCTCCGGGCATTTTCCCCTGTTGTATATAAGGATTACCTCTGGTTCCACTTTGTGCTATACCCTTTAGAGGTGTTATTTTACCATTGTAGTTTAGCAATAGTGGTATGCTAAAGCTAAACTTTCTTTTCATGTTTCTTACATATTTGTTGCTTCTAGCCTCTCCTGAATATGCAGTTATATGAAAAAGCACTAGATTTGTTTGAAGATGACCAATCAACTTCGGTAAGTTATGTTGAACTTTTTCTTACTAGATTTCTGTGATGAGGCATATGAGTAAAATTTAGCTGTTCTGTGATGCACATGTGCTTTTACACCGACATTTGTTAAGAACCACAGCTACGTCTATGGTGGACACTCTCTTACTGAACTTGGTAGCATACACACCACAACCGTATTTAATTATGTATTTGTTTTCCCCCTCTTTTTTCCTGTTGTTTTTTTCTTGGTTCATGGTAATAGGTTCATGGTAAAGCCCTTCAAGCTCCAGGAAGGGCCATTTCAGTTGTCGTCTCTCAATTGAAGGTATGAGCTTATTTTCTAGCTACCTCACCATTTAAATGTTCTTTGAGCATTGATTTGATGCGTTGAAGGTTTATTTATATGAGCTTGCAATTGCAAACTTAGATTATGGGATATATCATATATGTTGGATATTCCCTTTCCAGCTGATGGGGGTGTTGGCAGTTAAATATGGTTGGGATGCTACTTTCTAAAGGAGTAGTCAGAACACACTGTTCTCATGTATCCTATATTAATGCACACTGGGATGCTACTTTCTAAAGGAGTAGTCAGAACACTGTTCTCATGTATCCTGTATTAATGGATATTATTGTATACTGTGGCTTACTAAACATAAGAAGGTATGCATGCTATGCACCCTTGCCCAACATTGCAGACAGCTTTATATAATTCCTTTTTGAATTTTGTTTATAATGGGGCATAGAGCCTTTAAAGAAAAGTGCATGAACCCTACATTTTTCGGTCAACGTATTTTACAGCTAGATTTAGCGTACAAAGCTTAGTGGCTGTGTGATTTTAAGAAATTTCAATTATACTCCACATTGGGATGTGGCTTGTTAATCATGCATTATTGTGTCCATTATTTCCTGTAATAGTGATTTTTTTTGTCACCACCACCACCATCCCTCTTCCATGACCAAAACCACCACCGTCTCTGAATGCATCATCTCACAATCTCTCTCCAATCCCCAATTTGAAGCAATGGATTTTCTCTATACCAAATTGTTCTCCAGAACCCTAGACTATTTCACACCATTTTCCCCGATGTTTTGAAATACAGCCAAAGAAAACATTTTTCGATCTTCAGCTGTAGGGAAGTAGAATTCTCGGTTCCCAAACACTGTCTTAATTCACTGAGCTTAGCCAACAATGGTTTTGTAGATGATGAGAGATTGAGAAGCAGCGTCGTAATGAAGAACGTCGATGTGGCGACTCTCAGAAACCTTTGTGTGGATATTGTTCTCAATGTCCCCAAGTTGCCACCCAAGTTGTTTCAGGAATGGCTAGCTTATATGGAAGAATTGTCCAAGTTACTTCTTGTTGGAGTATAGATAGTAGTCTAGGTTTATTAGGATTTCTTTTCTCTTTTTTACCCTTACTAGATTTTTATATTTTGCCTAAACTACAAGGATGTTTAAGTCACTCTGTATTATTTTTGGCTATATATACGGGACTCTACTTTGAGTTTGAGTATCCCTTTCACATATTTCAAGTTGGAATCAGAGCCAAAACCCTAGCCTCCATCTCTAAGCCTGACCCTAACCTTAACCCTAGCCTTCATCACCTTCCCGGCAGCCACCATTCCACTGCTCAAACAATCTGCAACAGCCCCCAGTCCCTCAGCTACCACCAACACCACTGTTGATCAGCAGCAAAGCACCGACTGAAACCAAAACCAAAGCACCGACTGAACATACAACCACATAGCCTACTGCCCAACCTCCAGCGACACACCCAGGCCACCAGACCTGCCACACCGACTGAAACCAAAACCAAAGCACCGTCTACCTGCTGCCCAGCGAAACCCCACCGACTACCTTCTGCCCAGTCCCACCGAAAAACAGACCCAGTCCAACCACTGAAAAATAGACCGGCCACCAAGACCCAGCCACCAATACCCACCGACAAATCCACTCCAGACCAGCCACCAAGACCCAGCCGAACAACAGACTAGCCGAATGCCCAACAATACCCACCGACAAATCCACTCCAGACCAGCCACCAAGACCCAGCCGAACAACAGACCAGCCGAATGCCCAAACCCAACCGACTGCCCAAACCAAGTAACCAACTGGCTGCTCACTTATTTATACCAAACAATATATAGATCACTTATTTATTTCAACCAACCCACTGTTCATTAAACTCATAGTTTTGTGTTGTTTTTGTGCACTTGATTATTTGGGACCATAAGACCTTTAAGAGGGGTTGTGATTTTATTCTAGGACTTTTTTGGGAGGAAGCGGATCCTCTTTTCTGTTGATCTGCCCTTGATGCAGTAGATCACTTATTTATATATTTTGGATTTCTGGGCACCGTGACTTGATTATTTGGGAGCTTTTTGGACCTTCCCTATTTGTCGCTACTGTTCGACTGAAGGTATATTGTTCTCCCTTATTTTATTCCTCTATTTATCTTAGAGTTATTTTTCTGTCACGGGTGCCCTAGTATTGTTGTTGATATGACTACTACTGAGGGACTTGAGAACCCTACTGTTGACACCTCTACCGTTGAGACATCTATGGGTACTTCCACTTTTATGTTTGACCAGTATACAGTGCCTACTAGCACAGTTGCATTACCAGCATTACCGGGCATGATCTCTCAAAAAGTTACGGCACAATTGTTGAATGGTCGTAACTTCGCTGAGTGGTCACGCTCATTCCAGCTTTTCTTAGGCCGTGTAGGGAAGCTTGGTTGGCTGACGGGATCTCACCCAAAGCCAGCTGATGCCGACCCTGGATATTCTGCATGGTTCTCTGAAAACTGTGCCATTCTTGGATGGTTATTTGGCTCAATGGAGCCCTCTGTTTGCAGGATCCACCAGTTTCATAGCTCTGTTCCGAAGCTATGGAGCGCATTATCAGAGATGTATTCTCAGTCAGGACGGGGAGTTCGTGTTTATGAGCTTTCTCAGGAGCTCTCATATGCTCGGCAGGGAGATATGACCGTTCAGGATTATTATGGCTATTTGACCCAGCGCTGGCTTGAGTATGAGTCTCTACGTCCTCTTGCTGCTATTCCGAAGATAGAGCCCGAGGGAGCAGCATTCTTGCATACTCGAGAGCAGGAGGATAGGATTCACAAGTTCCTTATGGGGCTTCGTGATGAGTTTGAGGGACCTCGTTCTCAGATCTTGTCGATGTTGACACTTCCTTCTCTTTATGAGGTGTATGGGATGATTGAGCAGCATGAGCGTCGAGTCCGTATTGCATCACTTCCAGTTGCAGCTTTGCCTCCTTCGATTGACCAGATGGCCCTTGCAGCTGCTGTAGGGTCCCGTTCAGGATCCTTAGTCAGGGATAGGCAACGCTCAGACCAGCGCCGTCAGGGCGCCCCAGATCAGCGCAGACGGGGGGATTCCCGTCAATGTGATTATTGTGGCCGACCAGGACATCTCAGGGCTACTTGCTGGAAGCTCCATCCAGAGCTTAAGCCACCTTCTCGCAGCCGTACTGTTGCTATTGCTGAGGTACCACCGCCCACTACCGCCACTCCTGCTACTGCTCCTCCTTGGCAAAGTGATATGGATGCTATCACTTCCCGATTAGATATACTTATGTCTGCTCTGACTTCTCAGAGTCTGACTACTGCTGCTGTCACCACTACAGGTATATCTCGTGCCTTTCACGCTTGTGCCAGTTCATCTCCCCTTTGGATGTTGGACTCGGGTGCGAATGGTCACATGACAGGTGAGGCCCATCACTTCACCACTTTTGACGAGCCGTTACATACACAGGTTCAGTTAGCAGATGGAACACATGCCCCTATTGTTAGTAGGGGTACAGTCCGTCTCCCAGATGGCCTTACATTACATTCGGTTTTTCATGCGCCAAAGTTGGCCATGAATCTATTATCTGTACATCAGTTAGCCAGAGATTTTCACTGTGCGGTTGTATTCTTATCTGATTCGTGTTATTTGCAGGACCTGAGTACCAGGAGGATTATTATCAAGGGACATGAGAAAGATGGACTGTATTATCTTGGCAATCCATCTCCAGTTTCACCAATTCCTTCACCTGCACCTGCTTTGTCTTTTTCTGTTCCTAGCTTGCATGCTAGTATTTTACCTAGTAGTTGTCGTTATGATTTTTCGTCACAAACTGTTCAATTGTGGCATGACCGTTTTGGACATACAAATTTTAAATATTTATGTATGTTGTTTCCTGCTTTGAGTAATGCTTGTGTTGGTGGTAAACTTGATTGCGTTATCTGTTCCCTATCAAAACATGTTAGGGCCAATTATATTCCTCGCATGCACCAGTCACCCAAGCCATTTGACCTAATACACTCTGATATTTGGGGACCCTCTCCCGTTACTGCTCTGTCAGGTGCCAGATATTATGTGACATTTATAGATGATCATACCCGTTGTACTTGGGTCTACCTTTTGCATAGGAAGTCTGATGTGCTCCCTATAATCACTCAGTTTTTACAGATGATTAAGACACAATTCGATGTCATTGTTCGTGCTCTTCGTTCGGATAATGCCAAAGAATATGTGTCTGATGCTTTAGTGTCTCACCTTTCTTCTCAGGGTATCCTTCAGCAACTCACTTGTCCATATACTCCTGAGCAAAATGGTGTTGCTGAGAGGAAAAATAGGAGTTTGATAGGGATGGTACGTTGTCTGCTTAGAGGCATGAGGGTACCAAAATCTTATTGGCATTTTGCTGTTTTGACTTCTACCTTTCTGTGCAATCGTACGCCGAGTCGTGTTCTTCAGCATAAGGCTCCCTTACAGGTCTTATTTCCTGAGCGGACACTTTTTCGGTCCCCCCTCGTGTTTTTGGATGCACATGTTTTGTTCAGGATCGGTCTCCTACTCGTCATAAACTTGATGATAAAGCGATTCGTTGTATCTTTGTGGGCTATTGTCATCAATCTAAGGGGTATCGCTGTTATGATCCTATTAGGCGTCGTATGTATCACAGTCTAGATGTTACCTTTCTTGAGCATATTCCTTATTTTCCTTTCAGTCCTTTGTCTGCCCCTCCAGTTGATGATACTCCCTTTGATTTTCCATTACCACAAGAGTCAGAGTCATTGATCACTATCCCTACAGGGTCATCCGTTTTTCCTCCAAAGGAGTCACTCATCCCTGTCAGTACAGAGTTACCAGTCTCTCTTCCTTTGCAGGTGTATGCTCGTTGTCCTCGCTCTCATCACCCTGCTGATATCCCCTCTACCTCAGGCGATGCAGGTAATACTTCTCAGTTTGTTGAGCATATTGATGCACCTGTTGTTAGTACTGATGAGATTACAGGTGCTGAGCCAGTTACTTTACCTGATAAGATATTATCAGTAGAGGATGGTGATTTAGGGCGTCGTTATCCAAGGCGTGATCGCCGTCCAGTTGATCGATATGGTTGGACCGCCAAGATTTTATATCCGATCTCTGCTTATGTTTCTTATGGTAATCTGTCTCCCACATTTCGAGCTTATACTATGGCCTTATCAGATACGCTGGTTCCTCGCTCTATTTCGGAAGCTATGCGGGAGCCCCAGTGGGTTCTTGCCATGCAGACAGAGATGGACGCTCTTCAGCGTAATCATACATGGGATCTTGTCTCCTTACCTTCAGGGGTGAAGCCTGTTGGCTGTCGCTGGGTTTACACCCTGAAGTTTCTGGCAGATGGTACTATTGATCGTTACAAGGCTAGACTTGTGGCGAAGGGCTTTACTCAGGTACCAGGTCGTGATTTTGGTGCTACATTTGCCCCCGTGGCAAAATTGACTACTGTTCGGTTAATTATTTCTCTGGCTGCGGAGTACTCTTGGCCTCTTCATCAATTAGATGTGAAGAATGCGTTTCTTCACGGTGATCTGGACGAGATTATTTATATGGATGCACCACCGGGCTTTCGTGGTGAGGGGGAGTATGCTGGAAAGGTATGTCGACTGCGTAAGTCTCTTTATGGACTGAAACAGTCGCCACGAGCCTGGTTCTCTCGCTTCAGTGATGTAGTCATACGATTGGGGTTCACCAGGTGTCATTCTGATCATACCTGCTTTATTCGACGGAATACTTCTGGACAGTGTGTCATCCTTCTGGTATATGTTGATGATATTATTATTACTGGTGATGATGTTTCTGGGACTGCGCAGGTCAAGATAGACCTTGGGAAGGCCTTCGATGTGAAGGATCTTGGATTTCTGCGATACTTTCTTGGGATTGAGGTTGCCCGTAGAAGCAGAGGTATTGTTCTTTCTCAGAGAAAGTATGTTTTGGATCTTCTTTCAGACACTGGGATGTTGGGGTGCAAACCGGCATCATCACCTATGATTCCAAACCTGAAGCTTACTGCTGAAGGTGAGGAGTTGAAAGATCCGACAGTTTATCAAAGATTGGTAGGTAGACTTATCTACTTAGCCAATACTAGGCCGGACATTTCATTCGCAGTCAGCCGAGTTAGTCAGTTCATGCATAGGCCATGTCAGCCTCATCTTGATGCAGTTTATCATATTCTTCGGTACCTCAAGTCTTGTCCTGGACTTGGGTGTTTTTATGCATCAGGATCTCAGACCGGTTCTCTAGCCTGTTATTCAGATTCAGATTATGGGGGAGCATGTGATGGTCGATCTACTACGGGTTTCTGTGCTTTTCGAGGGACTCATCTTATCTCTTGGAAGAGCAAGAAGCAGACAGTTGTCTCCCGCTCGTCCGCAGAGGCAGAGTATCGGGCATTGGCACTTGGCACATGTGAGATTATCTGGCTACGATCGATTCTTGACGAGTTGGTTTTTCAGTGACCTCTCCATCCACATTATATTGTGATAATCAATCTGCTATTCAGCTCGCTTCTGACTCTGTACTACATGAGAGAACGAAGCATATAGAGATCGATGTTCACTTTCTTCGGAGAAGGTCAGCAGTGGTCTTGTTACTCCATCGTTTGTGGGGACCAGTGATCAAGTTGCGGATGTTTTTACCAAACCTGTCACTCTGTCTATTCTTTGGGACTCCGTTGTCAAGCTTGGCTTAGTTGACATTTTTGCGCCTAGCTTGAGGGGGAGTGTTGGAGTATAGATAGTAGTCTAGGTTTATTAGGATTTCTTTTCTCTTTTTTACCCTTACTAGATTTTTATATTTTGCCTAAACTACAAGGATGTTTAAATCACTCTGTATTATTTTTGGCTATATATACGGAACTCTACTTTGAGTTTGAGTATCCCTTTCACGTATTTCAAGTCTTCTCGATAAGGTCAGTTTCTTCTCACTTCACTCGAGCTCTGAGTTTCATAATTTTTAGATCATTAGGGCATGCTTGATTTTCCGTTTAAAGCAGTTATGTTCCTTAGTGTCTTTTGCGTTAAACAGTGTGTTATCGTGAAAGCTCTACCATGATGGTAACAATTGGGATGGAAGGGTAATAATTTGGAAACTCCACTGCTGGAAATCACAGTATCAAAGCCCTTTGATAATATGAAACTTACCAAGTTGGATCAGATTTTCTTTCCAACTCCCATACCCTAATACATTAATATGCAATGTTACTATATATTCAATATTAATCTTTCACTACCAGATACCTAAAATTAAACAACACTACTGTAACCAGCCAAATTTGATCATTGGGAAGTCTGGTGTGAAGTGATTTAATCAAGTGTTGAACCTTGTGTTCATTCTCGATGCTACACTTTACGGTGGTTAGGATGATGTCACTACTGTTCTTGGACAGTTTGATGGAACTCTATCAGTGATTTGGTTTGGTAGACTTTGAGAGTGCCTGCGGTTTCCGTCTGGTGGGTAGGATGTTGCCACCACTGTTCTTGGACAATGTGATGGAACTCCATCAGTCATTTTGTTTGGTAGACTTTGGGAGTGCCTGCAGTTTACCACCATCAAGGTTCCACTGGTGGACTTTCCTCGTGAGTTCAGGCTGCCATAGTCACACCCAGGCATGGGTTCCACCCTGGTTGCCCTCGCGAACCCTTTTTTCACAAGCAAAAAACAAAAGAAAAGAAAAGATTTCAAATTTATGACCTTCTGGAGTGGATGTGACAAAAGGCTGATTTTATATTCAACTAAACCAGTGTTTTGTCATCACACTACGGTTGGTCACGTTATATGCTCTCTCTCTCTCTCTCACACACACACACATGTCCATACATTTTTGTAGATGAATATCTGTGTTTGTTTTTCTATGTTCTTCCCTTATTCACCACAATTTAGGACTAACATAATTTGTTATTGCTCATAGCAATACTGGGAAGCTGGTCGTAACTGCAATATGGCCATAGCAGCAGCAAGACTGGGAATTCATTGTGTTGCAATTGGTCATGTTGGTGATGAAATGTATGTGCCGCTTCCTCTTAGATGTTCTTCATGATGAAGGAATTGGTACAGTTGGGATGAGTGACCTGAGTGACAATTTTGACAGTTCAAGTGCTGCATATGAGACACTTCTAGGTTGGGTTTTGGTGGACCCTTTTCACAGACATGGTTTTTGCAGGTATAAGTAATCAATTAAAGGTTTATTCCTTCTTTAAATATATATAAATTTTATAGGGAAACAAATTTTTTGACAGAAGTAATGTCTGAATGAATTGTTGTTAGCAAAGGATGGTGCATCACACCTGCTTATTTATCAGTCAAGCAGATTTTTGTAAAGAGCCTGCATTCAGTTGGCTAAGCAAGCTATCTATTGAAGTAAAGATGGCAATTAAGCAATCAAAGCTCTTGTTCTGCAATGGTTATGGCTTTGATGAACTCTCCCCTTGTTTGATTATTTCTGCTCTGGATTATGCTGTTGAAGTTGGGACAGCCATTTTTTTTGATCCTGGACCACGGGTAAAGACCCTAGTGATAGGAACACTCGAAGAACAGAGAGCACTTGACAAGTTCTTGAGGATGAGTGATGTTCTTCTGCTAACGTCTGAGGTGGTTTGACTTGTAACTCTTCATAGACTATATGAGCACATTCCTTTTCTTTCCTTCACCATAGCCTTCTATCATTGTATCTTATTTTTGAGGGGATTATATACAAAACTAAGCCTTATCCCAATTATTTGCCATGGATTATGAAAATCGATTTAGCCACCAATAATGTGCATGGCTATTTTTGCTGTCAAAGTCATCGTTAATGTATTCCTAACTACCTCAACACGCATCCTTGATAGCTTTCCTTTTGTCCTTGCATCTCCTTTTAACTTGAAACATATTGCTCCTTTTTGATAGTTATGACAAGGTTAGACATCACTTCTACCTCAGCTTTTATCAACATGGTTATTTCCTCGCTGTAATTGGCTTGTTGCCACCCTTCTATATAAATATTTTGTTTGGTTACCTCATTTTGTGCACATGTTAATCTTGATAGTTGCTTATTTTGTATCATATTGTTATGAGCCTTTTACTGATTTCCCTCTGATTTGACTGGTATGTTTGAACAAATTGAACAGTCTATGCACCAATCCTCCATTTATTCTGCTCAAATCACAGCATCTTTTAAAGATTGTGTCAGCTGCAAAGATGAATAAACCATCACCATATTGAATCAATTAATGCCACAACTGGTCGGGATTACAGATTTTGTTTCCATCTCATTTTTTGTAAGAAGTGTAAATTCTGAAGTTGGCCTGAACTAATTGATAGATTTATACAATCTGTACCCTCTAGTTAGACTTGGATAGGAGAGCTTTTGATTTTGTTTTATAGTATTTTAGCATGTTCCCAGAGCTTACTGTGCTTTTGGGAAAAGTTTGGTAGTTTTGAAGGTGGTAAACTTGTAATGTTATAAGCTTCAGGTAGGTTGCTTAGTTGAAACATGATGTGGTTGTTTTAAGCTGCATGAACTTCTAATTATTTTTTACGCTGGCTAATAGGTACCTAATATATTTGATCATTGAAAGTGTGTAAGTTCACTGAATTTGTTCGGTCCACACCACCTATAACATTAATTGTTTTGAGGTATAAAGACTATACAATTCTCTAAATGAACTATCTGTACTCATGTCTAAGGCTTCACTGTGGATCGGCCTGTCTATATTTATTTTCCAGTCCTTTGAAGGAATCTGGAAAGAGTAAATTAGATTCGTTAATAAATGAAACCAACATCCGACATCATCAATTCTATCCATAAGGCAGTGTGGGCAACTTTTGTTGTATCTAATGTTATTTATATGATGCATCATCCATTCTAGTATAATTTTCACTTTTCATCCTAGTAATATAGCTTATGTTGATGGCTTGTCAGGATGAATCATTGACTGGAATAGGAAATCCAATACTGGCAGCCCAGGAGTTGCTCAGGAAAAGGGTCCGCACAAAATGGGTGATTGTTAAAATGGGTGCAAAAGGCTCAATTCTAATAACCATGTCAAATATATCTTGTGCACCTGCATTCAAGGTACCATTTATTATGTTGATATGTGCTCATGGCTCATACGAATGTTTACATGATCACCTGTTTGAAGTTATTTGATGCTAGGATCCTGATAAGGAGTATAGTGGCTTCATTTTGCACAAAGGGACATTATTATTTCCTACTTCAGAAGAAATTGGTCTTTGTTTGCAAATGATCAAACTATTTAAAATGAGTCTTGTCCTTGCTTGACTGTCAATGGATCAGTAAGTTAAGTTTGCTGAATTTTCTTTTCATCGACAAATTTATGTGCATGTTCGTGTTACCCAGAAATTTTAGAAATTTAATTCATGTGTTTAACTGTCCAAATAAAGTTATGTCACGTGCTTGCAAGGAAACACCCACTATGACACAGTTATGGCATAGTGTCCAGCCTGCAGATCTGGACACTATTGATGGCTCACCTGGTCAAGAATTTTCTCTTGAAACTGAGCATGAAAAGTTTGTTGACCATGAAAAATGTTCTATATTTTGTATAGTTGCTTCTGAAAATTCGGACATCACAGTAGTCTTCTTTGTATCTTAATATGTGTTGCCTAGAAAGGATAATTGGTGCACAGTGTTGCATTGCTAGGGGTATCAGAAATTACCGGCCTTTGCTCAGAATTTGAATTCATATGTCTCATATCTGCTTGGGCTTAAATATAGTGTCTCTTGTTTTCTCAGACTCTTACTTGGGAAACTTGCATTGGTTGACTTACAGGGCCTTAACCATCAAGAGAAGCTTGCTTTTTGGATCAACACTTACAATTCGTGCATGATGAATGTATGTGAAATCATTCTATGAACATATTTCAATAAACTATTTAAGATATATTTTGGATAGTCCTCCATATATCGGGAGTGGTTGGATTGGTTGGTGCATTCACTTTAAATCCTATGCCATGTTTGCCGTGTGTTTGGTATAAAAGTAAGAGCCACTAACTATATACACAATGCTTCAGGCCTTTCTAGAACATGGAATACCAGAGAACCCTGAGTTGGTGGTTGCACTGATGCAAAAGGTATTTCCAATCCAGCCAATCCTTTCATTCATGCATTTATACTGTCATATTCTGTATCCTAACAAACACTGATATTACCAAAAGCACATGCTAAATCTAGTAGAGTTTTAAGTTTGTTAGTTCGTATCTATGAGCTTGTATGAACTAAGAAATTATACACAAGGAAAGATTGGAACACATTGTCTTGTTTCATGAATTTTGGTGGTAGAGTTTTAAGTTTCTTAGTTTGCATCTATGAGCTTGCATGAACTACAAAATTAAAAGCCTACACAAGGAAAGATTGGAACACATTGTCTTGTTTCATCAATTTTGGTGATGTTTTGTTTAGAAATTTTCCACACTCGTTTGTTTGTTTTTTTTTTTTTTTTTTTGCGCTTCTTCTTGTCTGCATTAATATGTCTACCATCTTTTTAAAACTCTATTTTGGCAAAGTTGAAAAAGTTATCGAGGGATCATCTGCTGTTAACTTGAGTGGTATCTCCTGCTGCTGGCAAAGTAGTACGTGTAGGGGTCAAATCTTGGTTATATGGAACATGGGCATGCATGTATTAGTTATTGTGAAAAAATATGAATCATCTTTTTCACCCTGCTTTCATGCTCTTTCAATCTTCTTGTTTTATTCCAATGATTTCAATAGCTTTGTGTTAGCTCACTATTGGTGCAGTTAGTTGAACAGTAAAACTCCCATATTAATCAACTTCACTCATTGTCATGAGAAATGGTAGTGCAGCACAGCTTGCATTACTGATAGGCCCAACATGCGGATTTGAAAAATGAATTTACATATGCTATGTTCCTTGGATTTTGATTGCTCTTCGTACAACTATACTATCAAATTTTTGAAGCCTTCTTTGAGGCTTTTGGCAATACAATTTATGCCCCAAGGTTGTGACTTGTGAGCCTTTGCCTCCTTTAGGAAAATTTTTTGTTGCTATAATTGCTCAATTAATCAATCTTACTAATCTTTAAAAAGGGTCTGTAGTCATATTTTGTATAAAAGTAGTTCAAAGTATCACTTAAAATGATGCCTTTTTTTGTGTTTATTTCCTTTAACAGGGTGTGGAAACATGTTGTCCGGAAAGGGGATGCGGTTGTTGATGCCACTTGTGGAAATGGGTATGACACCTTGGCAATGCTCAAAATGGTTGCTGATCAGTCAAAGAGAGGTCATGTTTATGGAATGGATGTTCAAAAAGTTGCTATAGAAAGCACTTCATCTTTGTTAGATCAATTAGTCAGTTCGGATGAGGTACTAATTTTGTGCATTTTTCAGTTATTTAACTGCATGAGGAAGGCTTCCCTTAAATCTGGGTCTGGAATGAATACACATTGGCAACTCATGGCTATGTAAATGCCTTTTCCACCAAGTGTGCACACAATTAGTTATAATCTTTTCTTGGCACTGACACAGTATGCATATCGAACTTTTGTTTGAAGTGTACTTGATTCTTAATTGATTAGAATATAATTGCACCATAAAGTAAGCAAATGGAGTGCATAGCAAGAATGAAAGTTAGAGTTCCAGATTGCACATCTTCTACATTATTGCAAGTCTTTTAGGTGCCCATATAGCTCAAAAGTCTTCAAATATGTTTAATAAACTTATAATTTACATGTTGTTTATAGCTGCTTGCTCTTTATCAGTGAATCCTTCTTATGAGGTGTTAAAAACCAGGGATGCAATCCTTGTGCTTAGAGAAATGCTTGACACAAATGATTTATATGTTAAATGAATGAACAATGTTGCTGCATGTGTTACAATAATTTTTAAGGAGTCCTAGTATTCACCAGAAATATATGTGCACAGTTTAGTTCAACTGTTTATGGCCATGCCAAATTTTGGATTCAAATCATGAAGTCATGAATTAATATGTTATATCTGTGCAGAAAGAACTTGTTGAGCTATACAGCATGTGTCACAGTAAAATGGAGGAAATTGTTCCAAAGGGCGTCACGGTGAGGTATGCACTATTTGGTGCTAAATATTCAGCATACCTATTTTGGTTTTGAGTCATTATTTTCTAAATCATGCCACTTCAATATTGTCTTATATTTAAACCCCTCCCCCTACAGTATTCTTACTGAATACATTAGTCCTAGCAATTCAATCAGCTTACAGACTAGCTTGCTTTTTATTATTCCTTGTAGTTGCTATTTGCAAAACACAAACAATTTGTATGTATGCACCTATTGATCATGTAGGAGAGTTTATGATGAGGGTTGTTTATCTATTGGCGCTATTTTTGTAAGAGTTTGTGAGATTTTGAGAATTTAGGCTAAGGTGTTCAGCCCTAGTGCAGTAGAAAGGTTGTTATTAAGGGTACCTTGCCTTTGTAATGACCTTTGGTTTCTAATTGTGGGGTACTGCTTGCAGCTGGATGTGTTTTAGCAGAATCAGTTCAGGAGGTATATTGAATGGAGCAGGCAGTTTAATGGGGTTGTATCTGCTGTGTTTCTGCTACACTACTGTGGAGGGTTTGAGGATAGCTGCTGGGATGATGCCAGTGTGATGTTGTGCATTGGAGATGCTTGCTGCCTGTGCATTTTGAAGGCTACAAAGTGTCTGCCAGAATCTGTCTGGTTCTAAGGTACTGAACAACATGCTCAGTAGCTGGACAGATTCTAGGAGCTGAATGTGAAGATCAGAAGATGCAGTAAAGTAGTTAAAAATGGTTTTAATCATCTTGAAGGATTAAAGTCATTTCTTGTATTCTTTCAAACAAATTTGTTCTTTGATTCTTGTAATTGTTTCTTTTATCAATAAAATTTTCCTTTTCTTAGTCTTATTAAATATTTGAATGGTGTGATTATAACTCAATATGAATGAAATCAATATTTTTTCCAGCTCCTATTTCATAGCTCAAATGCAGCTGTGTACGCATCCGCGGTCCTATTTAATTAATTATTTTTTGCATTTTATATTTATTTAAAAAAATATTTGCGACGATTTTTTTACGTCGCTAAAAACTAATTAAATTATTATTTTTAAAATTTTTTATTTATGAAAAATATATTTGCGACAATTTTTTTACGTAGTTAAAAATTAATTAAATTATTATTTTTAAAATTTTTTATTTATGAAAAATATATTTGCGACGATTTGTTTATGTCGCGAAAAATTAATTTAATTATTATTTTTTAAATTTTTTATTTATAAAAAATTTATTGGTGACGCTTTTTTTTACGCCTCTAACAATAAATTAATTTTTTTTTAAATTTATTTATGAAAAATATATTTGCGACGATTTTATTACGTCGCGAAAGATTAATTTAATTATTATTTTAAAATTTTTTTATTTATATAAAAATTTATTGGCAACGATTTTTGTACGTCGTGAAATATTAATTTAATTATTTTTTTAAATGTTTTATTTATGAAAAATATATTTGCGATGATTTTTTTTACGTCGTGAAAAATTAATTAAATTATTTTTTAAAATTTTTTTATGTTGCTGGAATAGTTTTTAGCTACGTTTTTTTATTTTTGGCGACAAAAAAAAAACGTTGCAAAAATTTTTTTTTTTGCGACGAAAATAAAATTATGTCGTAAGATACTTTCTACGACGAGGCTATTACGACGAACACGTGACGGAAAAAAAACGTCACAAAAAATTTTTGGCAATGATTTTTTTTAATTTAGTGACGAAAAAAATCATCGCAAAACACGATTTTAGTTGTAGTGGTAACATGGTTTGCACTTGGCCATGTTGAATTTGCTCAACAGATCAGAGGCATAACAAGCTTGAGAGAGATAAATGGTGTCTGATGTTCTCTGAATTTCCAAGCCTAGAAAGAAGCTCAGATCACCCAACTTGCGACTATCAAAGACTGAACATAAGTGAATTATAAAATGATCAATTTCAATAGCATCATCCCCAGTGATGACTAAATCATCAACATATACAAGGAGAATGATAGTATGTGTCGAGGAATGCCAGATAATTCTTTAGTGGTTATTTCATGTAAACTTCTTCTTGCAAAATTCCATTAAGGAAAGTACTATGAACATCAAGTTGTTGTAAGTGCCATTTGCGAGAGATGGCAAGGGCAAGGACAGTACGACTGGTGGATAGTTTGACAACTAGACTAAAAGTCTCATCATAGTCTAGTCTTTCTTTCTAGTTAAATCCTTTGTGATGGTTGATAGAACCATAAACAAATTGTTTTACTTTAAACACCCACCGACAACCAATAATATTTATTGAGGTTGTTGCTGGTACAAGTGACCAAGTGTGATTGCGTAAGAGATCATCATGTTCATCTTGCATAGCTAATTTCCAGTGAGGAAATTTGGAAGCTTTGTATGACGATGGCTCGAAGGTGAGAGGGCCGGTTAGGTTAGAAACCAGGGCATGGGGAAGGGGATGTCGAGGTACCATAACCTAGCTGGTTGATGCTCTTGAGTTTCTTGGGTGTGGGAGCAGATTGAGAAGTAGTGGGTAAAGGAGACTCAGGTCTATATGGCTGAGGGTACTCAGTGGCCAGCAAAGGATTCGAGGAAGAAGTCTGGTCAATAAATAGAGGAGAATTGCCCATAGCTTGGGATTGTCCAACCGAAGATGGGGAAGAGCCAATTAATGGAAAGGACCGTACAGTTGTAGGGGAGTCTGGTGAAGGCAATGGATGTACGGGTGAAGAAGAATTTTCAAGAGGAAAAGGAGATAGGGAAAGATCATGTGAATTGGGAAGTTGCTGAAGGAAGACTAGTCATGTGGGTGGGGTAGATGGTGAGGGTGGTTGGGGTTGCATATCTTTGTAGGGGAAGGTGGACTTATCAAAGTTAACATTAAGAGAAATATAAACTCGACGTGTGACAAGATCCAGATAGCTGTACCATTTGTGGTTATTATTATACCCAATGAGATTCGATATCGCCACCCAATCATGATAGCTGCTGAAAATAGGAGATTGACCACCATGACTTGTAGAATTTTGGGTGGGGGTAAGAGGAAACATTGTCTCATTAAACACAACATTTCGAGAGATAAAAATTTTTCCAGCTAATACATGGAGGCACCGATATCCTTTGTGAAGAGAGTTATATCCAACAAACACATAGGGCAAGGTTTTCAGCAAACGCTTGTTCTTACCATACTCCTTGAGATAGGGATGGCACCGAATCGTGTGTCCATGTTGAGGAAGATGTTTACGCTCAACTATGCCATTTTTCTCTTATGTGGAAGGACAAGATATGTGATGTACAACACCATTTGCTGACAAAATTCAAGAATTCATTTTTTGGAATTCCCCACCTCCAGCACATTGAAATTTTTTTATCTACTTGCCAAATTAAGTATGCATCATGGTAGAAAATTGTATAAAAAATTCAAAGAATTCATACTTTATTTTAAGTGGGAAGATCTTGGCAAATCGAATGAAGTCATTGATAAACAGTGCATAGTATTTGAAATTTTGCATAGAATTGATTGGGGCTAGTCCCTGCAGATCACATTGTGTTTTATCCAATGATAGCGAATATCAATATGCTTTGTTTGGGAATGGTACATGGAGTTCTTGCCTAAGTCTAGATCACTTTGACTATCACGATGCACCTTGTATTCCTTCTGCTTAATATCTAGTTATTGGAGAAACAGCTTTAACCACAACATTTCTTTACCAACTTCCACTGCAGCAATATACTTTGTCTTTGTCGTGGATAAAGCAATGCACTTCTGCAACTTTGACTGCCATAACATAGCCCTCCCTCCAAAAATGTAGAGAAATCATGATGTAGATTTTCTACCATCAAGATCTCCTGCCATATCTGAATCTGTATAACCTTCCAAAACTAGTTCAACTCCCTCGTAACACAAGCATATCTTTGATGTACCCTTAAGTTATCTGAGAATCCATTTAACCACCTCCCAATGTTCTTTCCCTGGATTGGAAAGAAATCTGCTTACCATGCCCATTGCATGGGCAATTTATGGCCCAGTACACATCATTGAGTACATTAGACTCTTAATTGTTGAAGAGTAGAGAATCTTTGCCATATATTCTATCTCTTTCTTTGATGAGGGACAAAAAATCTTGCTCAACTTGAAATGATTAGCTAGTGAAATGCTGTCTGGCTTGGCAGTATCCATGTTGAACCTCTAGATCATTTGTTCAACGTATTTCTCCTGTGATAGCTATAATTTCTTAGTTTTTTTTTTATCACGAGCAATCTTCATGCCTAGTATCTGCTGAGCTGGCCCTAAGTCCTTCATGTCAAAGGACTTGGACAATTCCTTCTTTAATTGACTAATCTTTGTGGCATCATTTTTGATGATCAACATGTTGTCAACATAAAGTAGGAGTGCAACGAAATTTCCATTCGAGAATCTCTGAACATAAATACACTGATCTGCAGTAGCCCTCTTGTAGCCTTAACCCATCGTGAATGAGTCAAAATTCTTATACCACTGTCTCGGAGCTTGCTTGAGGCTGTACAGACTCTTCCTGAAATTACAGACTAGATTTTTCTTTACTAGAACTTCAAAATCTTTTAGTTGTTCCATATAGATTTCTTTATTCATATCTCCATGAAAAAATGTTGTTTTCACATCTATTTGTTCAAGTTCTAACTTTAAACTGGCTACTACTTCGAGAATGACTCGAATTGATGTCATCTTACCAACTGGTGAGAAAATCTTGTCAAAATCAATTCTTTCCTTGTGTTGGAATCTTTTAACGACCAATCAAACCTTATAATTCATCAGTTTTTCGCTCAGCTTGAACACCTATTTATTTCTTAGTACTTTCTTGCCTTTTAGAAGCTTCACTAGCTCATAGGTTTGATTTTTCTACAAGGAATTCATCTCATCTTACATTGCTTGCATCCATTTGTCTTTATCTATTTGAACTTGTGCTTCATAGAATCACTCCGGCTCATCCTCATCAGTACGCAAAATATAGTCTAACTCTGGCTATCTACTTGATGAAATACGTCCTCTTTTAGATCTTCGTGATTGAGGCTCATTAGCAATATGAGGTATACCATCATCTGATTAATGCGATGGTCCTACAGCATCTGGTGGAGGGGTTGCAACTCCCCCTACTCAACACCTTCATTATGTTGTTTTGATTCTAGAGCTTCATCTTGTGCTTCATCATTATCTGTGGTGAACTGTAACGATACAGGGTCTGGAACAATGTCATGTGCAGTGAAACTAGAACTATTAGATTTTGTGGGATTTTCAAAATCCTCATTTAACTGGTTTTCATGGAACACCATGTCTCTGCTCTTGATGATCTTTTTAGCCTTTGGGATCCACAATATGTATTCTAATTCTTCATCTTCGTAGCCTATAAAAATGCACAGAGTGGTCTTGACATCAAGGTTCTGTCTCTACTCCTTGTATACATGTGCAAATGTCTTGCACCCAAATATTCTTAAGTGGGAATAGGAGTGGTTCCTACTAGACCACACCTTTTATGGAATATCAAAATTCAATGGTACTAGTGGTGATCTGTTTATTAGATAACAAGTAGCACGAACAACTTCACCCCTGAATGATTTCGGTAGCTTTGCAATACTAAGCATGTATCAGACTCTTTCTACAATGGTTCAATTTATCCTCTCTACTACACCATTACGTTGTGTTGTACGTGGAATCGTCTTCTCATGTTTGATACCGTAATTACCATAGTATTCTTTGAACTCTCGAAAAGTGTATTTGCATCCATAGTGTGTTTGGAGACATTTCGGCTTCTTTCCTATTTCCCACTCTACCATGTCATGGAACATTTTGAAGCATTTGAGTATTTGGTCTTTTGTCTTTAGGAAGTACACCCACACCTTGCGTGAAGCATCATTAGTAAACATCATAAAATATCTATTGCCGCCTAATAATTCCACCTCCAAAGGACCACAAACATGAGTGTGCCAGACTTAACAACTCTGATCTCCTCTTCATAGAGGAGTTGAATGAGACTCGATGTTGTTTACCAAACAAGCAATGTTCGCAAGGATTTAGAGCAACAAGTTTGACAACTGTGATGAGATCCTTCTTTGATAAGACAAATAATCCTTTCCCCCCATGTGACCGAGTCTTTGATGCCACAAATTTGATGAAGCCTCATTTTCAACTGCATTTAGGTTATCTGAGCAAACCTTCAAATGGGTCTTGTAAAGTGTGCCACAAATATGTCCTTGGGTGACAACCATGACACTTTTCGTGAGTTTCCATGTGTTATTGTCGAAGTGGTTATTGTAACCCTGTCTATCAAGAGCTATCCTAGAAAATAGATTTAATTAAAAGTCGGGCACATGTCAGACATCCTTCAATACCAATGTACAACTAGCATTTGTTTTTATCTAAATATCACCAATTCCGACGATCTTGAAAGAATTAGTATTTTCCAACTTCACCATACCAAAATCTCTGGCTTTGTATGTCAAGAAGAAATCGTTGTGAGAAGTAGCATGATAAGAAGTTGCAGTATCTACTACCAACTCAGCATCATGGCTAGAAACATGAAGGCATGTCTCCTTATTGACAGAAAGAATGACTATATCCCCTAATAAAGTGACTGGCATCTCTCCGTCATGTTTTTTTGTCTGATTACTGTCTTGGCCTTGCTCTCGTAGTTACTTGTGGCAATTTTTCTTCTTGTGTCCCTATATGCCACAATGGTAACGCTTGTATATGGGTCTTCCACCACCATTTGATCTCCTTAGATCTTGTGACATTCCCTACTTTTACTCCTTCCTTTCCCTTGTCTCAACTACCTCTTTGTTGTCTGTCTCTACTCTTAGTGACGAGAATATTTGATTGGTCAAGGCCGGCATCCTTTCTACTTGCCTCCTCATTGAATAGGGCATTTTTAACCATTGACATGATAAGTTTGCCTCTCAAAGCCAAATTGCTGAGAAAGACTACCAACGTATCCTATCTGTCTAGTAGAGAATTGAGAAGTATGAGGGTTTGTTTTTCATCCCCAACTTGAACTCTACTGATGATAATTGATTTACCAAGCTTTGGAACTCACTCGTGTGCTCGGCAATTCAAGTTTAACCTTTTAATTTCGGATTCACCAACAACCATATCAAAAGGCTTTATTCCAAGTTGTTTTGGCCTGGTACATGTCTTCCAGCTTCTTTTAGAGAACATAGACATTAGTCTCTTGGGCAACATGATGGAATACACTATCGTCAATCCATTGCTTGATTTAACTGATGCTTTTGCTGTTCTGTTTCTTCTACACTATTTCTTTTATCTGATCTAAATTTACACATTTTACCTCTAAAAAATCATACAAGTCTATACAGCTAAAGAGATCTTTCATCCGAGGTCTCCAGTGTGTGTAATTGGAGGCATTGAGTTTTGATCATGGCTCCTGACATTGATTTCTCCATGGACATTTTGTGTTTTTATGCTCTCAATGTCTTGATCAAAAATTTTGGGCCTGAATTTTGCAAAACGAGGTGCACCATTGAGTCTAGAACGATTGAAATAGCTAGGAAAGAGTCATGGTTCACCGAAAACTAAAGCTTAGAAGTGGCTCAGAAAGGTTTTGGTAAACCTAATAGAATATTCCTGATGAAATATTCTCTAACGGTGCTGAAATATTCTGTCGTCTTCAACCTTCCTTCAGTCACCGATCCGACAATTTTTTCAGCGAACTTTTGGTAGAAACTTCGATAAACTCTGGCAGTCTTCTCGGGCGACTGGTAGAACATTTGGTGAACTTCCGGCAGGAGTGTGAGA